TTTTGATATATTTATGTTTTTGTCTTTTGCCTCCTACCCTACCAAAATCTGAAACAAAAAGGATACAATATCTTTAGATGGCGAGAAATCGATTTTTGTAATGATTGAGTTTTACATCTTATTTCAGAACTTATGTTTGAAAGTAAAAATTCTAAATTCATCATGTTAAAAATAGATTAGATACAGTCCAAGAGAGAATTACTAAACTTGAATATAACATTGATACAAAAATGCTATCTAATCCTCAGATATTATTCAAGTTTCACCAATTATCCCAATAATATGTTTTACACAAAAGATCCAGAATCATGTTAACTTCCTGATTTTAATGGTTTTTAGTTTTTGGCAACTTATTTTTAAATGGTTAAGGGAAAATAATTAATACAGTCCTCATAACCTTACTGTAAATTTGAGATTATTTCAAAAAATATAAAATATCACAATTTAAGAAATTTAAGAAACAATTTAAGAAATATTATTGTAAGATATTTCTATAAAACTTGATTCATGAAAATCAGATATATTGAGTTTCAGAAGCTAAAAAATCTATTTATATTTCTATTATCAGTAGATTTGATTTGCATTGCTATACAAATCAGCTCCCTAGACTGAATTCTGTAAAGGAGAGGGAGAAAATAGTTCGTACCTGATCGACCTCTTTGGAAACCAAGGTCTGGAATCAAATAGTCCCATCAAATTAACTAATTGAAATATTACATCTAATAATAACCACATTTACTTTTTGATCTCAGATATTTAATTTACAAAAGGATTGGCTGAAAAGGAGTATGCCCATATTCAACAATGATAATAGCACAATGTAAAATAAAATAAAGAGGCTATCCAAGGGTTTTTATATCAGGTTTCTATTGTTCTTCCCTCAGGGATTAGAGATATTAGCAAGCTTGATGAAGAATAATGTTTCTCTCTATGTCTGATTACATCTGTATCCAATTGTTTGACCCTATAGAGCTTGTCTTTGACATCAGATACAATTAGGTTCTGCAGTGTGTGATGGGAAATGACAAAAATAAGGAAAAAAACAACATATAATGTGTTTTGTCTGTTTGTATCTCAGACAAGATAGCCATCATTTTTTTCCCTCATGTAAATGAAACACAGAAGTAGTATATCCAGGGCTGATAAGACAACTCCACATTTTTATCAGCACTGGTACTCCTATATTTCTGTTTCATGTCCTCAATCTGTGGCATCTTTTCCTCATGATCAAAGATGGCTGCTCGTCCTCAGAATTTCCAAAGTCCATGCTCACATCAGGAAAAAGAAGGCTAGAAAGTCTCACTCTTTGTTTTAAAGATCAAACCTTGAATTTCCATACGATACTTCTATGTTATTCTGCTCAAGCTGCTATAACAGATTCCCACAGACTGGGTGGCTTAAACAAGAGACATTTATTTTTCATAGTTCTGGAGGCTGGAGAGTCCAAAATCAAGGTAACAGCAAGATAGATTTTATTCTGAGGTCTGGTCTCTTGGCTTGTAGGCGGCCAGCATCTCTCTGTGTGCTCACATGATCTCTTTCTTATGTGTTCCCAGAGACAGAAAGAGAGAAATCTCATCCCTTTTTATATAGGGCACTAATTTCATCATGAGGGCCCTACCCTTATGATTTATCTAATCCTAATTACCTCCCAAAAGCCTCATTACCACGTACCACCACATTGGGGGTTGAAGCTTCAACATATGAATTTAGGGGGAGGACACAATTCAGTTCAAGCAACTTCCAATTATATCTCACCAGACAAAGCATAAACATATTTTTTCTATATATTTATTAATATTTGTCCTCTTACATGACAAGATACTAGAAGTTAAAACTTCTCAAAATTCTTCAAAAGAAATATATATACATAAACTCTTTAAGCAGCAGCAGCAGCTTCCAAGATACAGATGTAACAGGAGGGGTAAATACTTCTACATTACCCTATGGCCATGGCTGTTTTATTTAAGAAGAAGGGGAATATGGGAATTAAGTGCCAATAGCAGACTCTGCCACTAAGATACTGCTGATTATTTCAGGATTACTGAACACAGTGGTTGCTTATTTTTAACTTGTCGAACTTGAAAATGACTGTGCAGTATCGCAGGTCTTTGGCTTTCAAATCTAAGAATCCTCTCCTTGGTCTCCTGGCACCCAGATATACTCTGCTGGATTGGCCTTTCTTATGGTAACAAAGGTCAGCACACTTTTAGAGCTTTTTGAATGAGCATTGAAAAACATGCCAAATTTGCCTGGAACTTTAACATTTTGAGTCTAACACCATTAAATGTTTCCTTAACACCAGAGTCTCAGCAGTGCTTCTGTTTAATCACATATCTCCCCTTAAATGTGGATTACATTAGGTGTTAGGTGAGTTCCATTAGGTTAGGTACCTGCTAATAGCATCAAAGGTATGCCAATACACAGTACCTGATAAGTTGCAAATAAATACCACATTTTATTTGTATATTATCTTATTTTAAAAGCCTGATCTATGATAAGACGATGTGTGAGGAAAAGGTTGTTAAGTGATTTATTATTCCTCTGTTTCCATGTTGGGTATTTTATTTTTGCGCTCATCATTTTTCTAAATTCTTTAAATTCTCTTCTATTTTTCTAATCCATTTAATCTTTTTCTCCATCTAACTGCTTCTAAAAATGACGTCTAGATTTTGTATTTTATTTCAAGATACTCTGCAGGCTATAATCTTTTCAAACGGGATGTTTGTTTGTAATAATAGACAACTTAAAATACAATCATTACTGACTTTTAATTTATAACTTATAATGATGCCTTTAAATATTCCAATAAATAAATATCTCTGAAAGACATTGCAAAACATAGTTTCAAAAGAATTCCAAATATTTCACCCAGTGTGAATTTAAATATAATCTCATGTAGTCATAAATTGAATGTTGAATTTGCGAAGGGAATGAAAAATCATCCTAAAGAGTATTTGGGTTCAGATTTAATACTTTGCTGGGAACCTTTATTCAGTTTGAGATTCACACCTCTATTTAAAAACAAGGGGTAACAATTCAAATTGAGTTAGAAATCAACTAAAATCTGTATCTGTTAACATTATTTTTTTACATATGGAAACTTTTGTAATTCTAATTTTGTAAAAAGATTAGAAATAAAGGAAAAATAAAGGAAGTTGAATGCTAGTCTCTAGATGTAGGTGTTTTTCAGTATCTCTTCATTTTAGTTTTTAATGGCAGGGGACGGGGACCCATTGCAAGCCACCAGTGTTACTGAAACCAAAACCAGCGAGGGGTTCCAGCCTGGGTCTGATTGCTTGCTGAATATAAAACCAATTACTGAGAACAAGGAGGATTGCCAAGGAAGAAAGGAATTTTTAATAGGGTAATAGCAATGTCATCAGCCAGGAGAGACAGGGGTAAGGAGTAGAGTTCAAATCTGTCTCCCTGAGTTAGGAGAGTAGGGGCTTTTATAAGAGGTTAAGGAATGTGTACAAGTTAGTGAGGATGTTGAGTATTGGTGTAACTCCTTCCAGCATCAACTCAAAAGTCCAAAGTCTCACCTGACACTCAAGTCCAGTTCCTGCCACCTATGAACCTGTAAGACCAAAAACTAGTTATTTAATTTAAGAGATAATGGTGGTACAGAGATTGGGTACATTCCCTTTCCAAAAGGCAGAAATTGGCCAAAAGAAAGGGACCTGCATGTTCGGCATCCTGGGCATACTGGTGCAAGAGGTTTGGGCCCGAGGCCTCGAGCAGCCTCTTCTCTGTGGCTTTGCTGGGCGCAGCCCACGTGGCTGCTGCCATGGATTGGAGTCAGGTGCCTGCAGCTTTTCTAAGCTGAGGGTGCAGCTGCCGGCGGCTCCACCGTTCTGGGGTCTGGAGGGCAGGATCCTTCTGCCCACAGCTCTACTAGGCAGTGCCCTGGTGGGACTCCGCGTGGGGACTCCATCTCCACATTTCCCCTTGGCTCTGCCCTAGCAGGGTTTCTGCGAAGGGTTTCCACCTCCGCAGTGGGATTCTGCCTGGGCACCCAGGCTTTCCCGATCATCTGAAATCTAGGTGGAAGCCGCCACGCCGCCGCCACTCCCACATTCTCAGCACCCGCGGATTTAGCACCACATCGACTCCACCAAGGCTTGTGGCTTGTGTCCTCCCGAGCAGAGGCCTGAGCTATATATACCTGGGGCCCTTTGAGCTGCGGCTGGAGCCAGAGCAGCAGGCACAAGGAGAGCAGCCTCCTCAGGTAGCACGAAGTGGTGGCGCCCGGGGCCTGGCCCCTGCACCATTCGGTTCTCTTAGGTCTCTGGGCCGCAACGGGAGGGGCAGCCTGGCCTCATTTCCATCTGAGACCCTATCAGCCCTGCCTTTACTGTCCATGTTTCTCTCAGAATTTTGGTCACAACACTTAACAAGTCTCTAAGGAGTTCCAAACTTCCCACCATCTCGCTGTCTTCTTCTGAGTCCTCCAAACTCTTCCAACCTCTGCCTGTTACCCGGTTCCAAAGCCGCTTCCCCATTTTCAGGTATCTTTACAGCGACACCCCCACTCCTCGCTTAGTCTGCTTTGTGTGGCTACAAAGGAATACCTTGAGGCTGGGTAATTTATAAAAAAGGTTCGTTTGGCTCACCGTTCTGCAGGGTGTACAAGGAACACGGCGCCGCTTCTGGTGAGGGTTTTGGGGGGCTTCGGGTCAAGGCGGAGGGCGGAGGGGGAGTAGGCCGGTCACACGGCCAGAGAAGGCACCGGAGAAGGAGGAGGAAGTGCCAGGCTCTGTTAAACAATGAGCTCTCGGTGAACTAACAACGTGGGAGCTCACTCATTATTGCAGGGGGGTACCAGCCACTCCTGAGGGACCCATCCCCAAGACGCAAACACCTGCCACCAGGCCCCGCCGAAACACTGGGGATCGAACTCAACATGAGATTTGGAGGGGCCAAACATCCAACCACGTCAGTCCTTTTCGTATTTAATGTACCTAGTAATGTTTCCATATATCCATCTTTCCTTCTAGATCACTCCTGTTCCTGGTACTCACCCGCTTTTAGTTTTTGTGAACCCCAAAAGTGGTGGGAAGCAAGGAGAACGGTATGTTTTTAAAAATCATTTCCTTTTCTATATCACATGTATGTAAAAAAGATAAACTAAAATTATGATGTAAAATGCTTAAAAACATTATTCCTCACTGTTTACTAATTTTAATACACAATGAACAATGCCAGAATATATATATAAAATTATAAGGATATGTGTTTTTAGAATTGAAATTTTAATATAATGGTCTTTGGTAAATACGTTTGTTGTCATAGCTTAGGTATTTGAATTCTCTCTACCCCACATATCACCCCCAGCCCTTAACAAACAGCTTCAATTACAACATGGCTTCATAAATACTATTGAATGAAAATTGGTTCTCTAAATGGTTAACATGATGGCTTCAGGTAAATCATAACCCAGTACTGAGGAACAGAATTTATATCTAGCTTCTAGGCAAAATACATTATAATGATTTTCTGCATGTGCATTTTGGAGAACATGATGCCATATTTCCTGGAGAAGCACAGACTATTTAATCTGAATAATAATGAACTGCATTATCAGGTATCTCAGTATTCTGGCTGATAAAATTTCATTTTTGTAATGAATCAATGATTACATAATCATATTTAATACAAATATGAAAATCACTACATTGAAGAGTAATTTTTATGTTCTTAAGAGGACAGTCATAAACAAAAACCTTATACCTGCCTGAATGCTTTCTATGTGTCTTTTTTTTTTCTGGAATATTATGGGGGTACAAACATTTGGTTACATGAATTACTTTTGTACAGTTTCAGTCACAGTTATAAGTATGTCCTTCACTCATATAGATGTCTTTTCTAATCTCAACCAAAATCAGCAAACAGATAAAAGCATTCACCCAAACACTATGACAGTAAAATAAATTCCTTTGTGGTTCACCAAATAACAAATTTGAAATGTTTCTCTAAATAAGAGAATTTTGTAACTTAATTTGCTTTCAGTACCATTTAGTTTTCCAGGTTTATTTCAATGAAATGAAGAATGTTCTTTATTTTTCATCAACAAAATATTACTTCTGCTTAAAAAGTATAACTTTCTTCTCTTTCATCAACATATTGTTATGTTTTTACTCTGTTAAATGTAATATAAATTATTTTAAATAAATGGCTTACTAATTGAAAATATTCACAATGCTTTATTAAAGAGAATAGTTGTGTCACTCAGAGATATGAAATAGTAACGCTATAATATTTTTCTCCTTTACTATTTATATTTATAGTCTGTCAGATATATATATTATGGATATTTTGAAAAAAGTAAATTTTTCACAAAGAATTAGATAAAACTTAAATTCATGTTGGAAGTTAGAGACAAATTAACTCTTAGGAGAAAAAGGTGCTGGGGATAAAAGTCATAAGAAGCAGTCGTGCAGGGAGGCAGGCCCATAAACAGTTGTATTGCAATGTCACACAGTAAATGTTAAAATAGAAATGTTTAAAATAAAGGTGCTATGAAAACTCAGAGGAAGAGATAACCATTTCTGAAAGCCAAAATGTCTTCAGAGAAGTAGCTTTTGTATTGGTTTTCATTTAGGTAGATATTAGTCAAATGAAAGGAGAAAAATAGATTTGTGAAAGGACACGGTGTAAACCAGGAGGAATTTACCGAGGTTAAAGTTTAAGGAGAAAGGAGAGAAAAATGAGAGAGAGACTGAGGCCATTTTGTGGAGATATTTGAATTTTATATTGTGAATAACTCCCCACTAGCAGGAACTTCTCATCATGACTGTACTTACGGAGCAGTCTAGAAGAGGGCTGGATTACCAAAAATTTTATAGACCTTGTGAGGGAACTTAAAGCCTGAACTAAGGTAGTGGAATGGAATAGCCAGGTTTGATAGACATTTCTCAGAAGGCAGAGGTCTTGAGAAGGATTCTGAAAGATATAAGCAGATATTATGGAGAGTTTTTATCAGTAAATATCATAAGAATGTGTTTATAAAATATATAGTTTTACATATATATAAAATTAATTAAAAAAGCTAAATATGTCCTTTCACTTTTAATATTTTGTCTAAGAATCCCAACCATGTGGGATATGTGTTACATAGAAAAAATTTTGTTGCATTTGCTTACAAAGACTTTTTTTCAGAAAAAAAAATTTTTCATATGGGTTGTTGAGACAGTTTAGCAATTTTGTGAGCTGACTAATCAAGATGATTTTTTATATAAAATGATTAGGCCACATGAGGCTATATTCTTTGCTTACACATACACATATAAAGTATACAATCCCATTTTACATAGGGGAGAGATAATTTTTGACTAAATTAGGTTGGCTCAATGACCTAGTATTGAGTTCCATGTAGGGAAATGTCTATTGACAAGGATTTATTGAGAGAAAATATTTAAGAAATTTTATACTGAAATATTTTAAAAATATTTATCTGAAATCTAGTTAGCTAAATAATGTTCAAATGGGGTTTAGAAAATAGTCTAAATAAATATGCATATTAAGAATACAAACATTAGTTCTAACAATAAGCTACATTGCCTTTATAATGGCCACTAAGCCCTTTTTTTAAAAGAACCATTAGTTCCTAATAAGTTGTTATACTTCTAATATTATTAATGGAAAATTTATCAAATATCTTCAGTTATAACTATATATATTTACTACTTTAAGGGATGCTACTTATTTAAAATTATTGAGTATCATTTAATTTCCTTTCCCCTCCCTATATTTTCACCTTTATAGAATTTACAGAAAATTCCAGTATCTACTAAATCCTCGTCAGGTTTACAGTCTTGCTGGAAATGGACCAATGCCGGGGTAAGTCCAAGGATAATATCATTACCATTAACTCACTTAACACTAACTAATTAAATAAATGACCTGACATATCTAGAAATAATGTTATTTGACTACAGCAGCCAGATTAGTATATAAAAATTGAATATCAGCTACATAAGAGAAATCAATGTTTTTTGAAATAACTAACAATCCATTTCAAACAGACTTCTCTCCCTTCTAAACATTGTCCAGTTATCTTCTTAATAGTACTAATAAAAATAATAATCACTCTCTCTCACATGCACACAAGCTGAGTGCTTAAATATTTAAGCCATGTGTTTGAAAAACTGCTCTCCTTTCTTATACTTGTTAAATGTAAAATATTTGCAACAGTGGAAAGAGAAAGCCAGTTAACAAGGAATAGAAATCATAATATGATTTTTTCATTTACTACTTACACAATCTAATGAATATCACTCTCTTATAACATACTTTATTGTTAATATATAAAATGTAGTAAAATAGATTTTTTTCAATGTAAACCATATAATTTTGGTATTATAAATATTCACTGAAATAAACCATAGTTACTTTGGCCTAATTAAGTAATTAATGTCATCTTCTTACACTGGCCTCTTTTTTCTCTATCAACATAAGGGTAAACATTAGACCACAGGAAGTGGTGAAAAACTGTATATGCTTTATATATATTTCTTTTAAAGAAAAAAGCCATGTGATTTAAAATGAGTCTTAGAGGTCATTCTCAGGAACGACAAACCAAATACTGAAATTGTCTATACTCTTTTAAAAGCTCAGAATTAAACTATACACCATGTGTCTTATGTTAAACAAGTGTTAATAAAATGCAGTTAATTAATATAAGGCTCCCACAATTATATTCATCTTTCTTCTACTGCATTGCTGTCTGCTGGCCAGAATCAGTTTCCAAATACTGAGCCTTGGTCTGTGGAATCGCCTTCCGGAAGCAGACAGAACACAGGGATTTAGTTCAGAACAATGCCTCTGTTAAGCTCCAAACTACAGAATGCAGAGGATCATGGTCAGACTATTGGCTAGGTGAGCTAGCCACATGCAAGAAACTCCAATGTAGATAAAGCCATGACAAAGTAAAGTCTTGATATTAATTCAGAGGCTCAATCAGGAGAGCTTTTTCTTGCCCTTTAATATTCTCTGGACTTCAAAGAAATAGCTCTTGTTCTGTAGGATTAAGGAATTGTGCATTCTAAAGTTTAGCGATTCCAAGACCTCTGTAAGTCCATTCAAACCAAGTAAACCCAGAATTTCCCACTTTTCACAGTTAAATTGGGGGGAGGAGGTATTGACTCTGCAAATTAAAAATTTTATAACTTAGCCAATGTGCGCCTTCATTGTCTCATCCGTAAAATGAGGAATAGTGCCTGCCTCATAGGAAAATGGAGAAGTTAAATGTCTCTGAAGCATATAAAATGTGCTTACCATATAGTATGTCCTTAATAAATGTTACTTATTATCAATACTATTTGCAGTAATATTAATTAATAATTAATAACATGGCTGCTTTGTAACTTTAGTAAATATACTACAACAACATTGATTTTAGCCCTGTTTTCTTATTTCATTTTTTCTACTACACTTTAAATATGTATTACATGTTTCCTTCACTCTCTCAATTATAAGCATCCTATTATTTTCTACTCTATTTTAATATATATAAAAAATGAATTTAGAAAATAAGTTAAAGGCCCTTCTTAAAGCACTATTACTGCTTAGGAAATAGCATTGTGATTGTTTGGGTATATCTTCCTAAACAATCTAATAGACACATAAAAATTAATATATTCTTCTCTATCTATCTATAATGTATTCATATACCCACACACATATATGTTGGATAGGGATATAGATAAATGTTTTATATAACTTGGAGTATAGATTATATATTTCCCTTTTTATACTCAAAATTAAATGATGTGCATCATTCTATTTCAGTAGATATTGATCAGTTTCATTATTTCTAAGTGCTGCATGATATTCCATAATTATGTTAGCTATCCCATTATTGATGAATATTTAGATTGCCTGTGTTTTTCAAATATTAACAAATGTGTTAAATTAACATTTATCTAGCAGTATATGGTGGTTGATGCCTGTAATCCTAGCATTTTGGGAGGCCACTTTGGGAGAATCACTTGAGCCTGGGAGTTTGAGACCAGCCTGGCCAATGTAACGAGATCCCATCTCTACATTAAATAAAAAAAACTAGTGGGGTATGGTGGTGCTCACCTGTAGTCCTAGCTACTCGGGAGGCTGAAGTAGGAGGATGGCGTAAGCCCAGGAGTTTAAGATTGCAGTCAGCTGTGATGATACCACTGCTCTCTAGCTCAAGAAACAGAGCGAGACCCTGTCTCTGAAACAAAACAAAACAAATCTATCTATCAATGTATCTGTTTGTTTTTGAAAGCATATTCAAATACTTTTATGGACTATGTTGTTGTGGGTAGAATTGCTTTGGTTGAAAATATTTAATGTCTCAAGTTTTTTAAACGAAATAAATTTGAATAGAATTGTGTTGAATTTCTAATTTCACCTTGATCACTATGACCTCTCTCCAATACAAAGGCCCACACTGCCTTCCCAGTGACAGACCCACACTTCCAGGAGTGAGCTATTCCTCTGTTGTTATCCTAAAGGCAAATGCCACAGATAGTTGCTCAGAATGGGGACTCTGACCAGACTATGTTACCCTTCACTTAACCCAGTGGCTGATATGCTCACTTGTAACTCCTCCCATTCCTTTTTCTAGCTCTGCTCCCTGCTCATGGGTCTGCTGGGAGATGGCCTTATTGCAGTGGTTTCCTTTCAATGTATTGCCTTATGAGGTGTTCTACTATGTAGGATCCCCCAGTAATCTGATACCCTTTGTGATTTACGCATTTTAGTTTTATCACCATTTCTGGTTTATTATTTTTCTAATGCTACCATAGATTTGCTTTTTAAAAATATGTATTTTAGTTGCTATCTTGAACCTACAGTTATTCGTTCTTTTTTGTTCCATTTTTATTCTTTAGCACATCAATTTATATTATTCTTTTTGTATCATCTCTTCTTTCATCCTATCTTTATTTTTTGCTTTTTCTAACACTTTGTTTGTAAGAGTAGGTGATTTTCTTGATTGACTGAAACTGCCCTTAGTGTGAATTATCTAGTAAATACTAAAATTCTCTGGCATTTGTTTCCTTTTTGATCTTTAATTGCATTAAAACAGATGTGTGTGTTTGTTTCCATTATATCTCCTTGTGTAAATTCTTTCTTTCTGATCCTGACTATTCTATTTCAAGCTGTCTAAACTAGAGTCTATTTCATAAAAGTTGTTTCCTCCCTACTGGTGCATATTGTGATATAATTGAACAAATTATTTAGAGGCATAAATTACTTAGAAAAGAGGAAATCTAAAATATAAATTGCCCCCTGGTTTTTATATAATTAGATTTTTTCTTCACAATATTAAAATAAATATGTGCATTTCTAGTTGTACACCAACTTCACATGCTAATATGACTTATGACAAGTTAATGTCAACTTTTTTGTATACTTCTAAAGTT